GGGTCGTCCGGTCCAACCATCATTCACACAGACCGACTCGACCCGGTACAAGCCGATCTGGGGTCGACCTGAATCCAAAACGGGTCAGGCTAGGTGGGATCTGGACCCTAAACCATCATGCTTGCTTTGCCCGGTTTGGACCTTCTAGTTTGTTCCATGCTCGTACAACCCGACCCGAATACGTACAGGCCTATTTTTACTTCTTTTGACCCGCTTTGGGCCAATCGGTTCGACCCCAAACCCGTGCACAAATCTGATATGATCCGACCCAAGTCAATCCACCATTAATTGAACCAGTATGGTCTGGTCCGACCGGATTGAACCAGCCCGGTCGACGTTTTCCTCCAAAACCACTTTTTCCCACAAAACCGTTGATTTTGGTCAGCAAACTGCTGAACCGGCTGGTTAACTGTTTGAATCGTTTGAATGGTTTTGACCGTTTTCCAATTTATTTTTTTATTTTTTTAATTTTTGTCAAAATGGGCTAGCTGTTCGGGTCAAACGGTCAGACTGTTCGAATCGGTAACCAGACCCCTGACCGCTTCGGTCACCGATTCATTTTTAAAAACCATGAATTAGATAGTTCAAGTTGGTCTGACCGGTTTGAGCCTATGTGGTTCATCAAATCCGAAACCCAAATATAATTAAATGACTTTGCTGCTTGTATAAAAATAACATGCATGTAATGTGACTTAAACCTTCACCACTTGTATAAATAGCAACTACTATTACCACTAAGCTATGACTAACTTATTTGTTAAAAATGAGTTAGTTTTTTGTTTTAAGTACATAAATATAAGATTAATGGGTTTGGGCGGGTTGGATTGGGTTAAAGTGGGTTTGGGTTGAACCCAACCCATTTAATTTTATATAGCTGGGTCATTAACGGGTTGGCGGGTTAAATGGGTTGGGTTGAAACTCAACCCAAACCAAACCCAACCTGCCCAATTGCCACCACTAGTTGTAGCGATGAGATAGTTACAACGTTATTTTCTACTTTAATTAAGTGATGTTTGGCATCGATGATGGTTTCACCTTGCCAATTATACAGAAACTTGTGATTTCTAGAATCATTGATTTTTGAAAAATCATCAAAATTTGTTGTTTGGTATCATTTATGCCATATAAGCTGATTTTTCAGATATTGCCTTTGAGTTATTTGGTACTGATTTTCAAGAGCTTATTATTTTTATATTAGAGTTATTATTCAATGCCATTCCATCCTCAAAAAATCAGAATCAGTTAAAAGTAAAGAAATCACCAAAAAAGGTGATCCCTGAAAAGGGAGGATTTCAATAATTGATTTTTCATTGATTTCCTAGAAATTGGCATAATCCGCCAACCAAACAAGAAAAAAGTCAATGATTCTTCAAATTCTGAATTTCCATGGGCTGAGATTTTCAATAAATTCCACATATATAAGGTGACGTGAACCGTCACCTTGCTTCTCTGTGCTCCATTATCCAAACCTTGCATTCTCCTTGACTCTCTCTCCTCTCTCCCTTTTTACCACTCCCAATTTGCCATCTCAGCACCCTCTCTCTTCAATCCTCTCCATTCCCATTGGGTTCTCTGTCTCCCCCCGCCCCCCCTCTCACTTTCTATAACAACCTAACTTCTCTCCTTAATTAGCTCAATATATGTTTTATCCTCATCTTTATGCTATCTCTAATTCCCCTCTATTCTCTCCACTTTCTATAAAAATAGGGTCATAATTTATTAGGATTTGATTTTTCAAATCAAACAATATTTATATCTATAGACGTGATTTCAAGCAAAGAAAGGGGAATAAGAGGAATTCGATGTTTCCTATATATTCATGGAATCTTTCATTATTGTTAAATAATCCATTAGTTATGAAAATTATTAAAATTTCTGGAAAATATTCTACCAAAAATTATGAAATAATTATTTTAGGAATAATCCATTATTTAACAAATATTAAATAATTTAATAATCTACAAAAAGTAATAAAAAATCCATTATTTAATAATTTTTGGTTATTAATAAATGTTCAAAATTTCATTGTTTACCATAAAATACATTAATCATTGTAATTTAATAATTTTTCTTTAAATTTTTACAATAATAATTTATTGATTGGCAATATTACTAATTACCATAATTTACTAATTTCTATAAAATAAAAAAAGTATAGTTAACAATTATCAAATAATTTAGGGAAACTATTTAACTAATAATCCATAATTGTTTTTTAAATAAGTAATTAAAAATTAAGAAATTAATCTATGAAAAATATGTTCTCCAAAACTATTTAAATAATAATCCATTATTATTATTATTCAAGTAAATAGTTATTAAAAATTTAGGAAAATTAAATTAAGAAGTTAATCTGTTAGAAGTTGTTTCATAATTATTTAAATAACAATTCATTATTTCAATAAATAATTATTAACTAATTTAGGAAAATTATTAAGTCTATCCACACCGATCTAGACCACATGGTTGACTTTAATCATACCTGGTTTTACATTAATTAACAATAAATGTATTTTTAATTAAAAATAATGTAATTTACCATAATTACATTAATTTACTATAATTGCATTTACTTTGATTAATAGTAAATGATTTAGGCTTAAAAATTAAATAATTCACATTAATTTATCGTTATTGTAAATAACGAATTTACTATACATTACTACTAATCAATAGCAATTTAAATATTTTTTTTTGGAAATTATAATAAAATATTGTAATTTATTGTTTTTTAATTTATTATTAGTTAGTTAGTTATAGAAAATTATTAACATTGTAGGGATGGCAATTTTCCCTATAAATTTGGGTCCTACCTTGCCTTGCCTCAAATGGGGCAAGTTTTCACAAATCTTAAACAGAGGCAGATAGGAAAAGTATTTTTGTTCCAAATTAAGGATGAGATTTGCATATAACTCCCTAAACATGATGATAAATTAGTAAAATATCCATAGATTTAATATTGATTTTTAAAATATCTCTAAGTTTTTTTCATATTCTTATAATCCTAGGATCTTATAATTCAATGGGGAATGGGTGGCTTGCCCCAGACCCGCCCTGCCACTAGGGTTGGGGCGGGGATGGAGTGGAGTGTCTTGACTTTTACAGGGGCAAGGGACAAGGAGGGGTGCCCCATCCCGTGCATCAAATGGGCCGCCACTATACATATAGCGGCAACGTCAACAGCTTCTCAGCCTCTTTTCCCATCCCTCTCGTGTAGCCACATCAGCATCCCTTTTAGCTCATTGCCAGCTTCTACACGTTTTTAAGAAAGAGCCCAACTCATTTAGGAATGTAATTGATGGAGAAAGCAGAAAAACTTGTTAAACAACCTATGTAGAGGAAAGTAAACTTGTAGAGTTTCCTTATCCTTCCCACCTTTAATTAACAGCTTGTAAATGGACTTAGATAGAGGCAATCACAATTATAGTCGTGATATAATGAAATACTACCTCAAAATAGGACTCTTTTTGTTGCCTTTCCCTCTGGCCAAAACGAAAAGCGAGAGGAGTGTAAAACAGTCCCAGATTTTGCTGATCAAAGGAGTCTTCATTGTGTCAAACTTTTCTCATAGTGCTACTCCCATCACTATTCGTTGTTCACTGGGGGTTGAAGAGATCCCAGTTCACAGAGTTCATCATTCAGCTCTTATCTTTCATCTCAACCCGGGTATGACTTTAGTTAGTTTCAGTTTTTGTTAGATTGGTTTGCAGTCGAAATTCGAAATCTTTTAAAATCAAAATTGGATTCGTAGTTTGTTTGATTCAGACATGAATGGAAATGAGAATTTGAATCACCACGAATGAGATTTTTTTCTCAAAAGAGAAACAAAGAATGGCCATTTCCTCAAATAGGGTAATGCAATTTCAGCAGAATGAGAATGGAATTCCGATTCCGCCCAACCAAACACAGTTAGAATCTAAATAGCCCATTCGCAATTCACGGAACATATGAAGACTTGTTTTGTTCCATCTGGCTTAGTTTTTTTTAATGGTTCCATCTCACTTAAAAGTTTCTTTGCATCTAGAAAGTAGAAAGTAGAGGAGGAAAACTTCCATCCCTTTTCTAGTCAAGTATGATAAAGAAATTTCCAAATTTATTTTGATATTTTGTGCTCATTCTGCTGGTTTTATGTTGAAAATGGGATTCTAGGAGACTTGCCGGCATCCGGAGAGTTCGTAGGATGCCAATGGATGGAGTCTTATTGGCCCAACATCGATGTTGCTGCAACTGTAATTCGGGTCAAGAAGAAAGTTAATCAGGTCAGTTTCAACTAATAACCGGACCCATTAATTGAAATTGGTTCACCCATTTTTGTCACTGTGGGGCACGGCGGGCACCCATGCTGTAAACATTAATTCGGCGTGATTCAATTTTTTGCCCTAACTAAGATCCAAGAGTGTAGCTCATTTGCTAGCTTTGAAGGAGAAAGAGTATAGAATTTAATGCTTTCGAAGACAATCTTCCTCCTTGGTGGTCTAGCCCACGTAATTATCCAATATAATTTATTTAAGTTACATAATTGAGGTACCCACGCCTCTTGGACTGAAGGGGTGCTCAACTGCCCATTCATTTATTTAATTAACTTAAGTTATTTAGCTTAATCACTTGTTTTACTTATTTCATTAACCTAATTTACTTAACAAATGTAATTAGTTAATTAACTTAATTAGTTGATCCATTTAAATAACTTAATTATCTTAACTAATATAATTACTTGATTTAATTGTTTTATTAACCTAATTGGCTTAATAATAGGCTCTTTTCTTCTTAGGCCATGTTCGTTTTCCGTGAAAAAGTTTACCTGTGTTCGGATTTCAAAATTTTGTGGGACCTATAGTAAGTTTGATTTACCCGAGTATCACTTACCCTTGCGAGACTCGGGTAAGTTGATTTCCCAAGTGGAGGGTAGGCAGATAAAAATAGAAAATCTCAATATTGCCCCCAAAAGATATAAAAGTTCGAGACTCTACCTCTCCGAAAAATCACCTCTGTGTTTCCCTCCTTCACTTCGTTCTACTTCTCCGAAAATCACCAACTGCCTTTCTCCTCCACTCCTTTCTTCTTCTGTGCCATTATTTATTTCAGACAGAGAATGCTGAGTTCTGCTTTTCTTCTACCGCTGATGTGTGTCTCTGAGTTCTCTGCATATCTCTGCGTTTCTCCTCCGAAAATCACCTCTGCGTATCTCCCAGTTCTGCTTCTCTGCCTTCGCTTCTGCTACATCAAGTCATCACAAATGCTGAAGAGTTGTCGTCGCCGTCCTCCATCTGTTGCCAGCACCATTGATCATCCCAGTTGTTGTCGCCGCTCCGTCTAGTTGCCGTCACTGGTCATTTTTCCTCCATTTAAATAGTAAGAATTGCTATTTCACTTGCCGTTGATCCACCGTTCCTCTGTAATGCATTGATTGTTGCTTATTTTTTTAATCTTATTAAAAAAATATTGCTTCTCATCTTATTATTTCTCTTTTATCATTATTTCATTGATTTCCTTTTTATTTTGATTTTTTTGTTTCTAGATTTCTTGGATGTAGTATTTTGGTTTTTTAATCAACTGTGATACCTAGAGTTTCTAGAATCAAAACATAAATAATTCTTGTTGTAGAAGATCTACTCAGTGAATCACTGTAAGTAGTTGATTAATTTTGAATTTCCAGATAACATTGTCTTGTTTTCTATTTCATGAATTTTGCATCCAATTCTGATGGCTTCTTCATTCAGTATTCAATATCTTCTAATGGATTTTGATTAGGCTGAAAAAATAAATATCTTTTTTTAATGAAAGAATTGACTGATAAAATTGGCTTAGATAGGCCAACCTACTATCTGGATTGAACTGAGTTAACTGATGGAAGGTCGCATGCTATTTGATTCATAGGCATAAATCATAACCACTTTCTCGCAAGTTTTGTACCGATAATGCATAGGCTGCAAGTACATGGCTGCATCAACACACAAATTTTCCAAATTCAGAGACATTTAATGCCAACAAACCGGTACTTTGGTAGTAAACTGTAGTTTGGTTTTCGTTTTCTGCATCCAAGAAAACCAAACCAGGATTAGGTTGACTACTTGACAGAGGAAGAACAATGCAGGACTGAAAATAACTAAAGGCTCTAGAGGAATACATAGAGAGCAAAATTATGTGATTTTCCAGGAAAGAAATGCTAATCAGTACAACAAAAAGAAGAAAATAAAAAAATAAAATTGCATATGTAATTTACCTACAGAGAAAACCCTCTTGGATGTAAGAAATCTCAGTAAGACTGTAATGTGAAGAAAGCTATAAAACTAGAGAAGCATCAAGGGCCTATCTGACAATATTACCTCAGATGCACCTATCCAAACTCATCCTATAGGTAGTAAAGAGACAAGATACACTGTATCACATTACACTACAAATAAGGAAGAATGAAATCTAGTTGAGATTCTATTGTGGATGGATGAATATTGTGATATAAAATTTATTGTAAAATAAAATGTAATATAAAAAATACATTCATTATCACTTTCCGGTGCCCACAGACGGGCGACTCCACTGGGGAGACCCTGGGAACAGTGTGAATGCCATTTCCCTTGCTGGTTCCAGCTGTGGCAATCAGTTTCGGTTCCCAGACAGCAATTTGTTTTCTGTAAAATTTAAAGTCCCTCTTGTTTGCACTTTTTTTTGCAGCTTGTTCTAAGTTTGTTTTTAGTTGAAGCATTCCTAGTTTTATTAGTATGGGTCTGGATTGAATTCCTAGGACGGATAGCTGTCTTGATTTTGCCCCAACCTGACATAATCCCTGCCAGAACTCGGGCCCTGCTCAGCTCCGGGTGGACATTTGTGGGCATAAGCTGAACATCGGTTACATAGTGTAAATATATTACATAACTGTATATGCTAGTTTAAATGCACATTGTTATAGTTGTAAATATATAATGTACATGTATACACTAGGGTCAAATATAGTAGAAGGTAATGCTGACTTCAAGCTTGAGTTTCCAATCTAGAGCCCAAAATATTCAGGCCTAATCCATCCAAAAGATCGGATTGAGCTGGACGAGGTTTGGGTTAGACCCGTCCAAGTTGCAGCCCATTTGGTGTTGAATGCAATGGTACGCCTGTATGAAGTTCTACTTAAAAAACCTCGACCTGTGACTGCAAACTCAACTGATGAGAAATGGAAATGGTTCAAGGTTTGTCTACTTTTTTATATATTTGTTTTTCCATTACAACATATATTCAGGATTATTGTCCTTAAATTCATCTTTTTTTGGTGTATGTGTGTAGAATTGCCTAGGGGCTCTAGATGGAACCTATATTAGAGTTCGAGTGCCTGAAAAGGATAAGCCTAAGTATCGAATGAGGAAGAATGAAATTGCAACAAATGTCTTGGGCGTTTGCTCCCTAGAAATGCAATTCATTTATGTTTTACCTGGTTGGGAGGGATCTGCCCATGACACTAGAGTCCTTCATGATGCCATCTCAAGGAGAAATGACTTGTAAGTACCACAAGGTATATAATAAACCCTAACCACTAAGGAAATAGTTTAGAGAGAACTAATGCAACCATTTACTAATTTAATATATGTTTTGTTACTTGTCTAGGTTGCTATTATTTGTGTGATGCTGGGTACCCTAATAGTGATGGATACTTAACACCTTATAGAGGACAAAGATATCATCTAAATGAGTGGAGGCAAGGGCACCAATCCAACACCCTAGCTGAGATTTTCAACATGAGACATTCTGCAGCCAGGAATGTAATTGAGAGGACATTTGGCCTCCTTAAAATAAGATGGACAATACTTAGGACCCCAACTTGGTATCCAATAAGAACCCAAGTTAGGATCATTATTGCATGTTGCCTCCTATACAACTACATATGGAGAAGCATGCCAAATGACCCCATGGAAGCAGGACTTGAAGAATTTTTTGTTGGTGAACAAGGCCAAAGTGCAACTGAGGTAGATTATGAACGAATAACAAGCCTAGATGGTAGTAGGGAGTGGAATGCATTTAGAGACAACTTGGCAAATCAAATGTGGCAGCACTTTAGACACCAATAGAAATTTCTATTTGTTACTTTTGTGTTGTAATAAAGTATTACTTGTTCATTATGTTTACTATGAAACTATTGTGTATTACTCTTGTGATGTTTAGTAAATAGTGGTTTGTTTCAGTAGCATTTGTTGATTTATTTGCTTGTATTTGCCTTATGTTTATGTATTACTTGTTTTTAGACATGGCTAGCAAAGACAAGGAAAAAAAGCAACCAACTAGACAAAATAGAATTTGCTCAAAAGAAGAAGGCAAGTTAATTGAAGGATTAATGATGCTAGTTCATATAGGGACGTGGAGATTAGACAATGGGACCTTCAAGTTAGGGTACTTGAGTTAGTTAGAGAGGTTCATGGAAACGAACCTCCCTAGATGTGGATTGAAAGCAAACCCACACATTGAGTTTAGAGTGAAACATATGAAGAGATAGTATGTAGCCATTTGTGAAATGCTCGACCCTAGTTGCTTATGGTTTGGATGGGGTGATGTAAAAAAGTGTATCACTTATGAAGACGAGGTCTTCAATGGTTGGGTTAAGGTAATTGTTATCAATTATAATTTATAATGAAGCAAATGTTTATATTTATTTCACATAACTTCTAATTTGTTAATGTACTTTTGTTGTAATAAATGCAGAGCCATCCACATGCTAAGGGGTTAAGAAACAAGGCTTTCCCATTTTTTGATGACCTTTCCATTATATTTGGGAGAGATAGAGCAACTGGGGAGAGTGTAGAGGCTCCTGCTGATGCTGTAGAAAATGTGAAAAGGGAGGAGTATAACAACCCTCCTATAGTGGGTGAATCGGTCAATGGTGAAGAAACCCAATATAATGGAATAGAGTTCATTCAGGATGATGGGATAGCTTCTCATTCTACTACACAATCCCCTAATCATCGACCTCAATTAGGTGCTTCATCAGCCCCTCACCCTCATAGAGCAAGTAAGAGATCAAGAAGCAACACAGATGATGATCCCGTGGCTAGGGCTCTTATAGATGAGTTGTCTAGGGTGGGACAACACTTTTTCATGGTAGGGGACAGAATATCTCAAGTGGCAGATGCTCTTATTGACAAAGAGGGTAGGGAGATGAGGATGAGGGTGTTTGACGAGTTAATGAAGGTCACTAGTTTAAGCATGAATGCAAGGATGAAGGTAGGAAAGGAAGATGACTAGTGACATGAGTGAGGTGGAGTATTTTTTTCAGCTTGCCACCGGATTTCAGACATGCATACATCTAATCCGAACTCCTTCAAGACCAATGAACACCTTATGTTGTGTTGAATGAAGATTGAAGAATAAAGAGAGTATGGAATTGAATAAAAAGGCCACTATCCATTGTTGGTCTCAGCTTATGGAATTGAATACTGTTCTTGTTTCATTGATAAAAGTACTGTTCATATTTCATAATATTTCTATAGGAATTTGGTGTAATGTGAGGCAAGGAAATACTACTATCAGTATGGTTTAGAAACCTAACTCATTTCTTTTCACATATAATTCATGCAAAATTTGTTTCCTAAGGGCATCCATCTATGTCTTAATTTTACTAGCACGGAGAACTGATTTTCTGATACTTTTAACCATATCAATACTTTGAGCCTTGATTAGTAATTGATTATTCTTTTAGTTTCCAATCAAAATGAATAGATAAAGTTCCCAACATGCAAGTAAATAAAATTCACTGATTAGTTTGGACTTTGAAATGACAGATGTTTATGTTTGTAATAATCTGCATATTGGTACATTCGTATTCTGATATTATTTTTAGAACGATGACAGGGTAGAGGCAGAGCAGAACACCTCCTAACCTCATGCATTTGCACAAAGGGGTCTTTTTAAGTATCGCCCACTTGTGATTTAAGGCCAATATATCCTCTTAGTTTTAATTTCTTTGATACCTCATTGGTAATTATCTGTTTAGTACATTCGTTTACTTTGGGGGGAAATTGCTTGGTGAAATGGTAAAATCTCAGGCTGACAAGTGTGGTGCACCTGACACTGGAAATATGGAGGTTAATCATGTTTCGGAGATTGCTTTCATCTATTTTGTTCTGGCCTATGAAATATATTTTCATTTGATGGTTAATCATGTATTAATCGATGGTAAAATCTATCAACAGGTGTTCAACTGTTTTTTCTTTTTTTGGTTTGTTTAGAAGAGAATATGCCATACCTAATGAATCTATTTTGGATTTTGTGTATCTTTGTGTTGTGCTCTCTTCTGTTCTAGGTATTGTTGCGGTATGGAAGTAAAGAGCAACTAGAAGAGTGGCTTATTCCTTGATGGGAAAATTCGTTCTGGATTTGCAATGGCAGAACAAGTTGTGTCTTCTGATGCAACCAATATTGAGTGTTCAATAAAAAGGTAGGTTCATGAAAGAAGTTTTAATTGGAAAGGTCAACAAGAACTGTATAATATAGCATGAGTTTCTGGATTTCAAAGACATGGATTTGTGGACTAGCAGTCTTATAGGGTAGAAAGAATATTGAGGATGATGAGTAGGGGAAGGTCAGATTCTTGATCATTTTCAAGTGTTTTTTGTGATACGGTAGTAAGGTGGATTGTCAGAGTAGGTACTCAATATTGATTTACTACTAAGGAAATACCTGTATAATAGGTAGGTGGATATGCAATATGTTCACCTTTTGGAGCTCAGTGTTAACTTCCTTGGTTGCTAAAAGTTTAGAACTGTATGCTCTGGTCATGAATTTTGGGTTCTGAATTATGAAGTATATTTTAAGACAACTAACATGTTAATTATTTCGCAGCAATGTTCTATAACTGTTGGTATTAATTGGTCTAGAGTGGGATTTCTGCTCATTATTATTGATGGATCACCTAAACATTCTCTATGCAGACAAGGGGACTTTTATTGCATCAATGGAAAGAAGTGGTGGACAAGTGGAGCAATGGATCCTAGGTGCAGAGTTCTGATAGTCATGGTTAGTTGTACTTGTGTAGCCACTTTTGGAACTTCAAGAGAATAGAACACTACTGCCACTGTGTTTTGGTTGATGTCTTTAAGGTGATCTAAATAACATGCAGGGAAAGACAGACTACACGGCTCCCAAACATAAGCAGCAATCCATGATGATCCTAGTTGATACGAATACTCCTGGTATACATGTAAAGAGACCACTCATGGTATTTGGATTTGATGATGCACCACATGGGCATGCAGAAATATTGTTTGAGAATGTACTTGTGCCTGCCAAGAATATACTTCTGGGAGAAGGACGTGGATTTGAGATTGCACAGGTGAAAATTATTTGACCTTTTTAAAGCTTACCTCTTGAGGGATGTTTGGATCCTGTTCAAACCACTCCACTCTATTCAGTGGCAAGTTAGGGTTAGCATCCTTTGTCAAATGGATCTCCTTCATGACCTATTCAAAACAAAATTTGGACTGCAGATTGATTTACTATGAATGGTCAAGATGCTAATAGGAGAAATGGGTAGATAATTCGATTATAGAGGGGTTTTGCTGGGGTGTCATAGAAATATGGTACCATCCCTCTGCATATGCCTCACATAATCATGTTTACAAATTTATTGTGGTAGGGCTTCATTTGGTTCTACCTCGTGAATTAACTTTAGATTACCCTGTGTCTTTGTTAAATCTAAAATAAATTCTATCACATCTTCGTGGATACTTTAGATTATCATATACTTCAAATTATCTTGAAAATTTGCAGGGCAGGCTAGGTCCTGGAAGGCTACACCATTGCATGAGACTGATAGGTGCTGCAGAGCGTGAGATGGGGATGATGGAACAAAGAGCTCTTAAAAGGAAGGTGTTTGGAAAATTGATTGCTGAGCAAGGTTCATTTCTCTCTGATATTGCAAAGGTGTGTTATTCAATTCTTTGTATTGGATTGCCCATCCTGACTCTGAAACAGAGAAAGATACCTCCCTAGCTTTGTGAAGAAAAACTGATGAAATCCATTACCAAAATACAAATTGCTGAAGTTTCTATATATGAATTTTTAGAATCTCTTTACCCACTTATATTGCTTGCTGCCAAAAAAAATATTAACAGGTTCTAAATGCAATACGGCTACATCTGTAACAGTTATACCATAGAAAGGTTCTATACTTGTATATAGTTAAGCTTGTGTTATCACCTATTGGGTTGTTATACTGATTGGCCATCTCATTTATGAAACTTGTGTCGATCTAACTTGACTCAGAACTTGAGTCATTTGGTGGGGCTTCAAAACTGAAGAACTCATTTATTAGAAGTGTATAGGTCTTGGGCCATTTATGCATCTAATAATCTAGTAAGCTTGATTAAATAAAAAAGTCAGATAATTATTTTGGCCTTGATAAATCCATGTGAATTAGAATTGTATCATGTTTTGTAGTGTCGAATGGAATTGGAAAAGACTAGACTGGTAGTTCTTGAAGCAGTAGATCAGCTTGATTGTCTTGGACATGGCCAAGGTAAGAGATTATTTATATATTAACCTGGAAACTGGATTGGTCTAGACAATTAAACCCTATAGTATAGTCACCGAGCTGCCTTCTTGATTCTGACTATTTCCTGTTGCTTTTAAGTCCCAAATACTTGATTGGTTTGTTAAATCATATAAACCTCCAATGGTTCTGAGCTATTTTAAATCTTGCATATGCTCAACTTTTAGTTATTTCCCCCAAAACCCAAATAAATAATAATAATAAAAATAAAAAAGGAAGAAAATCTGCTTACATTGAGGCTAGGTGATAGGAGAGCACCTTCTCACTTGGGTGATTAAGTGCCAAAGTTATAGCAGCAAGAAATTTAACTAAAGTGCATGGTGAGGCATGCACCTAAACAAAGTCCTTGCTTGGTTTGGTTTATCAACTTGCATAGTTTTACAAAAAAACTTTGCTTGCTTTCCTACAGTTTTGCATTGGTGAAAAATTATAACATGCCATGCACTATCGAATCAGCATCATTGGAGCCTAAACATGGCAACAAATTCATTGCTGGTGGTGAAGACATGTGGATACAAGTCTGGTTCATTAATATAAATTATGTATGTATGGTTGATCTTCTGGGTCGAGCTGGTCTCCTTGACCTTGCATATAGTTTCATGAAAGCCATGACCTTTGTTGCTCTTCTTGTCTGGTTCATGGGGATGCTGAAATAGCAAAAACAATATCGAAGCATATCATCGACAAGGCTGGTTGTCTGAGAGATGGAGAGTACATGATGCTGTCTAACATGTTTGCATTGCATGGTAGATGGAAAGAAGCAGATAACTGGAGAAGAATGATGAAAGAAGCAAGGATTGGTAAAGTTGTTGGTTGTAGTACTGAAGGGATTAGAGATCCATCATATGGATGGCTGAACCCTGCAGGTAGGTTAGGCGAAATTTAAAAAATTTCCTCTCCCCTCATCTGGGAATCACATTCTCTGTTTTAGAAAATCTGCATTTTCAAGGATCAATCTTGAACCATAAACCGAACCAGATCTGAAACCAGAAATAGGAGAGGGATATACCTGATACGGAGAAGCAGTATCTCCCAATGGAGGTGTTCACGCCCAAGGAAGGAACCAAAAACTTCTCTCACTGAAGATGGCGCAGTGTAGGATGGAGCAGAATCAACAATGTTCGTCCAACGAATCGAACTCTTCACAAGAATTCGCTGGAGGCTATGAGCACAACTTCAGATCAGCCTTTCTCCAAAGGCTGATATCAAGATCCAATCTTGATCGTTCCTGCTATAAAGAGGAGATCGAACTGGCAGTTATGGCGGCGGCAGGAAGGAGGCAGCAAGGAGAAAACAACTCAGTCTCACTGGGTGCTATGTTCTCTCTCTGTTTTGAATGTGATGATCTTCTAAAGGCTGCCGCCCCCTTCTCCTTTTATAACCTTAAAGGGATCAACTCCTAATCCCATTAGGAGTTGCTGATCCAAATCATATTTGGATCTGAATTCCCTTTAAGAGATAATGATAGACCCTTATCTTATCTGCTAATTAGATCAACCCTCTCCTAATCTTATCATGTGGTTTCCAGATCTGAATCTGTATTCAGATTTGGACTCTCTGAGTGGATAGGGTAAGACCCTATCCTATCTGCTAATCTAATCTCAGATTTGCCCCTTTATTTAACTGATCAAATCAGCCTAGTTCGAAATGGGCTTTAGGCCCAATAAGAGTATGTGCTCACTTAGCC